TGGGCGCATTGAGATGGTCTGTCCTCTGAACGATTGGGATATCCTACTAGGACAAGACGGACGCTTGACGAGCTTCGGGCGGGATTACACCAGGTGGTTATTGGCCGATGTGGGATTTTGGACACCCCGAGGGTAGGTCGTGGGCGAGATTATATTTGATATCATATCATGACACCCCAAGGGTAGACTGTGGGTCGAGCATGGTTATCCAGTGATGTTCGTACCATCCCGAGGGTAGACTACAGATGGTGCCACCTCGAGGTAGATTGCGGGTGGTGTAGCTTCATGTCTGAGTTAGGGACTGGTTCAGATAGTTATGAACTAGGCCCCTAAGTGCTAGTAGGGTGGTGATAATTGATTTATTTTATATGATAGTGGTATGTGATTTCATGGCATTCGAGAATAATATATATTGTTTGTTGCCTTATCATGTAAGTGCATTAGTGTTGTGTGGCATACAACTGGATTATTCATGCATGTTTTCAAAGTTAAAGTTATTTTCGTATCAAATATATTATCCGCTCACTGGGCTTCCTAGCTCACCGTTTTATGTTTTCTCCCCAGGATCGTAGATTGGGTTCGTGTGGAGCATACCTTACGCTTTAGGTTGGCCTTGACGCATGATGATCTGCATCTTTTACAAACTTTAGTGGACTCTGATACTACGTTTCTTTTGTAACTAGATTTCAGTTCCCTCTTTTAGAATAATTATTTGTGTATTTCCACCTTCTAAACCTTAAACATGCAAATGCACTACTTTTCACTTTCGTCTATAAACGGAATTGTTTTTATGAATATTTTTTTATAGAGAGTATTCACCTTCCTTTCGGGATCCTAAGTCTCCTGGAGTGCCCGGATCTGGTGGGATAAGGATACTCGGGAGGGGGCGTGATACATAGTGCCACTGGAAAGTCTCATTTTTCTATTGTGTACACCAAGCCCCAGCAAGATGCCCTCGACTTGATCAAGCTGCCAAAAGTTCCTAGTGTTAGTGTAGAGGCAGAAAGTATGGCTACTCAGTGGCAAGATGTTCAAGCAGAGGTGAAGCAGAAGTTAGAGCAAGCTAATGCCAAATACAAGAAAGCTGCAAACCAACATCGCAGAAAACAGATCTTTGAAGTTGGCGATCAGATTATGGTGTTTCTTCGAAAGGAAAGGTTCCCAGTAGGGGCGTATAATAAGCTGCAGCCTAAGAAGTATAGGCCTTACCAGATTTTGCAGAAGATCAATGACAATGCCTATGTTGTGGATCTGCTAGACACAATGGGAATTTCCAAAAGGTTTAACATGGCAGATATTTACCCATTTCACTCCTCTAAGAAACCCTTGTATGACTGACGTAGAACGTCTGACGGATGAATTCATAGAACGGGCTGAACGTCAGAAGTCTGTGCGTAAAGCCCAAAGGGCCTAAATTAGCATGCCCCATTCAAATGGCCATAACTTTTGATTTGGGAAGAGTTACGGAGCCTGTAAGATACCATTGGAAAGCTTATTTCAATAAATTATTCAGATTTGACCTTTTGATTTTAAGCTTTAAGTTTTTGGATTGAGACTTGTGTTATCAGTTCTAAAGGCGTAATCGAGTGCTAGCCTTGTTTTATCACACTACTCGCTGCGTCAGTACTACTCATCTTCTGATCTATCTTGAGAGTCATTCTCATTTTCTATTTGTTAGCGATAACATTGTTATATGAAGAAACCAGAGTTTCCTTCACCATGGCTTTCTCTTCTTGTGATTCATTACCAAATAATATACCGTTTGCAAGATCTAAAAGATAATCTGAATAATTAATCATAACCGATGGAAAATATTATCCGACGCTCACGAAATAATCCATAGCACTTGATGCTTCTCCAAAATACAAAATGTTGCCTTCTGATAGTAACATCACCTTATGAAACATATAAAATGGCCTAGTTGAAGGCTGATGTATAGTCATCAAAATTTTTCTTCCTTCATTCACTAACCTTCGCGATGTAGGCACAGTCTGTTGAGCCGATGTCGAGTCAAGACCTGAAATGGGTTCGTCCAGAAACAACAAACTAGGATTTATCAAAATTTCTTGCCCAATGCTAACCCTTTTTCTTTCTCCCCCTGAAATTCCCCTCAATAATGGGCCTTCTATAATACTATCCTTGCACTTAGTTAAACCAAGTTCAGTTGTTACAGCTTTTGCATGAGCAATTTTCTCTTCTTGAGTGAGAGTATTGGGTAATTGAAGAAGCGCGGTGTATATCAACGTTTCTATCACTGCCAAATTATTGAAACCGCAGCTAAACACACATAATAAAAGAAAACAAAAAAGTAAATAGGACACTTGATTTACCCTAGTTCATTTCGATTAAGGAACTACGTCCAGCATTCAAATAGAGAATTTTTACTAAGTTTTAGAACTCTGTAGCAATTACAATGAATAATGATGGCAGCTCACTCTCACTCCCTATTTTGATTACTTCAAGTTTTTCACTATTACATTATATATATAATAGAAAACCCTACCCCATTTGGGCTTACCCGAATCTAACCCCCAAATGCGTCTACATGCAAATTATGAACCATATCCAACACAAATGAGGGTAAACTACATCATCTTGTGTAACAAAACCGGTGATTCGCTTCATCAAGTTTGAAAAGGGCTTCCCATTGTAGGTTATGCTTCCATAATGTCGTCCTAGTGGACCTCCTAATGCAGTTAATAGAGTAGTTTTGTCGTTGCCTGAGGGACCTAACATATGGCTAACATTTCACCTGGTTTGACCATTCCAGTTATTCCATTTAGGATCACCTTTTCTTCTAACTTTATGTTCTTTTGGCTTGCCTTTGATTTGTTCATTTTGATCTTGTATATCACATCCTCAAACTGTATATGTAGATCAACAATTAAAACATAACATAGAGAATTTTTTTGTATATCATGAAGGTGGCCTCTACTTCTACTTGATCTTCTTTCTTCCTTATAGCTTCCATGTCCATAACCAATTCCTCCATGGCTAGCTATTCCAATCACCACCCCTACCAAAACACTAATATCAATTAAATGTTCTTAACCCCAAGGGATTTGCCTAGTGGTCAAAAAGATTTGTTCTCTTTATTGACTTCATGGGTTCAAACCACCTTGAGACTATTTACTACATTTGTGGCTTATCTGTAACATTGAGCTTGTAGAGTGTTCAATGAATCCTGAGATGCGCAAAAGCTGACCCAAACACCCTGATTATCCAAAAAAAAAAAAAAAAATTAAATGTTCTTGATATGGGATGTACATTGCTTATACATAATATATATAGTAATCACTTGAAATTCTGGTAATATTAATTGGACCTAGCTATCGTGGCCACAAACCAATAGTAATCGCTTTCTCTTTTTATTTTTATGTCTCTTTAAATTCAGGTTGAATTCACAATAGACGAATGTAGTCGCTAATTATATTCATGCACATGCTCCTAATCAATCCTGTAACTTTCACCTTCTATACTAGATATTGATAAGCTTCATATCAAACATGACAATAAGTTTCATAAAGCAATCAAACAGAAGAACTAGATGTGTTTGGTGAAAACTAAGCAAAGTCTAATACAAATGCCCAACCCTGCCTATACAGTGGCGCTTCTTGTAGCATTGTGGGTTTAGAACAGACTGAATGTCTCTATCTATCTATTAAGCAATCCCATTCTTATCATTTTTTTTCTTTTTTTAGCGTCATTTTAGCTGCTTAAGGAACTCAAATTTATGTCTTTTTAAATATTTTTTATACCAAAAATATCACTTGTACTTAGACACGTTTCAAATTTTTTTTAAAACAAATAAAATTATAATATAATTCCACTATAATATTTTACAAACCAAATGCATGCTGAAGGCCCAATTTAATTGGCTTTGTTTTATCAACGCAGCAAAGTTCTGGGTTTTATCTCGCAGTCCAAGTGATCCATGATAAATGGATTGGTTCAGTTAGATCATTTTATTACCCAAATTTATATTTGGTTTTCGATTTCGGCATTGTTGCGACCCTACACCACCACCATTCTCTTCCCTAATCATCACTTACCAAAACCCCTCTAACCCTATTCTCTCCAACCCCACCAATTGCAGGCAATCGAGCGATTAGGGTTTACATAGCCGCCCCTTCCAAGTCAAATTCCTGTCAATCTCAACCACCAAATGACCTATCGGTCTCCTCTCTTCAAAAGTCAGAACAGCCTAGATTGAGTTTACTCTCTATTCGTTGTCGAAATATAAATTTAAGTAATAAAGTAGTATTTTAAAAGTCTATGGATGGAAAAGTGTCATCAAACCATTATTTGGGTGGGGAAAAAGTTGTTTATTCTAAGCAAATAATATAATAAAGGAATCCATCTTTAAGTATATGTAAAAAATAACATATACATATGATAAGAACTTATATAATTAATTAATTTTAATTTTTTATTATAAAAATAATACATATGTTTTATAAACTTGGAATCTTATGTATAAGACAATTGCTTAATGACAAGCCCATTCGTTTGTAGCTTTAGCTTGATTAAGTCATATGATAATATTTATTTTTATTCCAGTATTAACACGTTACCCACATCAAGCCAAAATAGACAGGCTTGAAATCTTTGAACAATTTGATTCCTGTAAAATCAATTGGACTTTGATGTAAAATCACATTTACATAATAAAATATTACATATCTACTTTCTCTACCATCCAAATTTCATGTAGTCTAAACAACACATGGACCGATGGACGCGCATTTGATATCATCTAAACATTGTAATATAAAAAAAATTCTATTCATATTAAACAAATCAAATAATTGCTAAATAAATAATCATAAATTGATATAATAACGAAGAAAAATGGATATATTGTAAGATAAAAATATATTTTATATTTTATCCAGCGCCAGTGGTGTTGAACCGGAATCATGTTGAAAGAAAATTCAACACATGTTAAATATAAAAACACATCCCAACACGCCAGATATTAGAAAATTACCCACATTCATTTTCAATCTTTCAGCCAAACAAGAATGATATTCTGATTTTTCAGTGATTATTTCTTTCATATTTCATTTACAAGAGACAACAGAATTTCCCTCGCCTGTATATTTTTGACAAGCCGGTGAATCGTTTGAAGATTAGATAGAATAAGGGTCGATAGCGCGAGAATGTTGAATATGTAACTGTACCATACATTCAATAAGTTTTTAGTAAGCCGACAAATTTTTTTCTGAACATAAGAATGGTCCCATGAAACAGAAATACCCAACTTGGTTGGAGTGTTTTTTGTCGGAAAAAAATGGTGCTCACTGGACTTCACTTGTATTTCTTGCTTCTCCTCGGACTCCTCCTTCTGCTCCACCTCTCTTCTTCTCTTTCTTTTCGTGAAATTTCCAATCAAAATGATGAAGATGTCAAAAGGTCTCAGTTCCCAGATGGGTTCCTCTTTGGCACTTCCACTTCATCTTATCAGGCAACTCTTCTTCTCTCTTTCTTCCTTTGCTTCTACTTTTAATTTTTATTACTTCCTTTTGTTATGTTATCTCTCTTTGTTGCAGGTTGAAGGAGGGTATCTTCAAGATGGCAAGGGCCTCAGCAACTGGGATGTTTTCTCTCACCTTCAAGGTAAATTTAAATCTTGATACAAATAAACCAAGTTATTATCTGAATCATGTTCAAATTTTGATTAATTGATTTTTACAGGAAACATAGAAAATAATGATAATGGAGATGTTGCTGATGACCATTACCACCGATTCTTGGTAAATGATTCGTTAAATTTACTCATTTTTTACTTACCTGCAACTTCTGTTCAACATATATGAATTCCTTATTTATTTTCACAGGAAGATATTGAGATTATGCATTCACTTGGAGTAAATGCATACCGATTCTCAATTTCATGGGTTAGAATTTTACCAAGTATGTTCTTAGTAGCAATTAATTGAATGTTACTGTAGTGAGATTAATATTCAACTACTTGATGATAATGTTCTTGAGCTGTAACAGAAGGCAGATTTGGTGAAGTTAATCCAAGTGGAATCATGTTTTATAATAACATTATAGACCATCTCTTGCTCAGAGGTAATATCCTTCTCAATGAATCTGACTTAAAGCACTAGTGGTTTTTTTTTTTTTTTTTTTTTGGTACAATTTTCTCGAAGATGACGAATATGAACTGGTTAATGCAGGAATTGAGCCGTTTGTGACCATATTCCATTTTGACTTACCACAAGAACTAGAAGATAGATATGGGTCTTGGCTCAGCCCTCTAATTCAGTAAACTTCTGTTCACACTCTATAAGCTTTTCTGTTTCCCCGAAAAAGAATGCTCGACTCTATTTTAAATAGGTTCTGAAATATATGCCTAGTAACTAAGTTCTATCATTCTGTAAAGGGGTTTCTTCAATACTTTTGCTTTTAAGATTGCAATACCTGGTTGCTCTATGATCCGTTAATCCCTTTCTTGTTCATTAAGTTCTGATGAATCAGTTTTGTTGGTACAGTATGTGATTTTAAGTGTTCTTGCAGGGAAGATTTCGTACATTTTTCCAAAATATGCTTTGAGAATTTCGGTGATCGAGTTAAGTACTGGGCAACCATCAACGAGCCGAACCTGTTAAGTGAAATGGGATATGTTAGGGGATGGTACCCTCCAGGTCACTGTTCAGCACCATTTGGAAATTGTTCTGCTGGCAACTCTGATGTAGAGCCCCTCATTGTTATGCACAACATGTTATTGTCACATGCCAAGGCTGTTAAGCTATACCGTGAGCAGTTTCAGGTAATAGAACGAGCTTGAATACTAAATTGTTAAGTGCTTATATGGCATGAAGCAGGGACATCAAATGCTTCTGGGAGAAAATTGGGTTGAGCTTATAGTTATAATTATCTTTATAAAATTGTGATGTTAATGCAGCAAACACAAGGTGGTTCCATAGGAATAATTGCGAGTTCACACATGTTCGAACCCCTGAGAGATGAAGAATCAGATCGAAAAGCTGTGAGTAGGGTTCTGGCTTTCGTCCTAGGCTGGTAAGTCGCAAGTGCTTGTGTGAATCAAATTACCGAAGACTGTGCTTGACAATGCTTATTTTTTGACGAAGCACTTTGCTCAATTGAGCCGTTTTGTAACTTATCTTCAGTTTTATAGAAACTGAAAGTATTTTCTATCTTTTTTCAAATCTCATCAAATACTCCTGTGTACAAAATGTTGAAGGATATGTTTACAAAGGAAGTTTGGGTTTCTGTCTTGCAGGATGTTTGATCCCTTAGTATATGGAGATTATCCACCAGAAATGCGTCAATATCTTGGAACTGAATTGCCTAGTTTCTCCCGTGAAGAAACTAAGTTGATCAAAGGTAGTACAGATTTCATTGGCATCAACCATTACTCAACTCTATATGCCAAGGACTGCATCCATTCTGCTTGCAGTTCAGGCAGCAATCATGCAATCAAAGGCTTTGTGTACACCACCGGAGAACGAGATGGAATTCCAATCGGAGAACCAGTGAGCTAACATGATTTTATTATTAGTAATATGAATTTTTTGGCTACATACTTCCCATTCAGGCCGCAAGTTTTTTAGCAAAAGAATTTCGTAATATTTATAACATTTTCTTTTATTATCATCTAACAAGGTTACATTTGGTTTCTGGCAGAGTGGAAATCCAGAATTCTTTGTTGTTCCAGAAGGCATGGAGAAACTCATTAACTATGTTAAGGAAAGATATAAAAACATGCCCATCTATGTGACAGAAAACGGTATGTGCTACAAGTATGCATGTGCCTATATGCTTTTCTTTTAACCTATATGCATCACAAAAAAGACGAGGAAATAAAAAGACAAAAATTAAAACCTTATTCCCGATTTCTCATTCTGTTTTCTTACTTTTCCATCTCTGGTGTAGGGTATGCACCACCAAGGGAACAGAGTAAACAAGTTGAAGATTTGCTTCAGGATGTCAAGAGAATTGAGTACCATAAAAGCTACCTTGCTGCTTTGGCTAGAGCAATAAAGTGGGTATCTGATCAAATTATTCTCCTAAATGTGTATGCTCTTTACATATACCTTGAAAAAACAAAAATTCAGGGCATTGAAAAAACGCGATATTGATCAATGCTTATTTTATAAGTTCTGGAATTGGCCACACTGTATTGACCAGATTCATGAAATTAATTATTGTTCATTCATTGCAATATGGGTTGTAATTTGATCATCTCAAACACAAAGCCACCTCAATTGAATCAAATCACCTAATCCAAATCAAAGTGCCCAGTTTGGTGTCATTTTACTTTTAGAATTAGTCTATTTATAAATTTTTATTCTGATTTAATTGACAGGACTGGAGCTGATGTTCGAGGATATTTTGTTTGGAGCTTGATGGACAACCTAGAATGGATAGATGGTTTTGGCACGATGTTTGGACTCTACTATGTCGATCGCCAGACTCTTGATCGGACTCCAAAGCTTTCTGCTAGATGGTATAAGAATTTCCTCACCAATATTACCACTCCCAATGATATAAGTTCATCCAAAAAGAAGTTCTTTGTCACCAGATCACAAAATAGAAGAGTACAAATATATTGATTATTATGTTGCCGTATGATATGGCTGAAAAATGAAGTGGTATGTGCCATTTGTTGTAGTTGTAGACTTTGTTATTTTATGAAAGAATATGACATGTTAACCCACGCACACTAACCAACTAACACTACATTCATTTTGTATCTGCACACTAACCCACACACACATTTCCTAGACCAAACCAGACCTATAAATGTTTATTCTGAAGTCATGATATCAATTGGTAGTTTAAATTCTGTGTTTACTGCTAAAACCCACTCAGTAGTTCCTCTTACACTAACTTCATATTCTTTATGTTTGTGGATGTAATAGGGCAAGAGATGTTGATAAACCTTAGCCTACTGTTTTTGATGAGCCCACACCAGGTCTAAAAACAATTTGTTTAGCAGTTGAGACTAGACTTGATGTGGGTTCATCCATAAACAACATACTACAGTTTATCAACATCTCTTCTCTTATATATTGAAGCTGAATTTGTCCCACATCGTCAAGTTTTTCATTCTCCCATGAAAATCCCCATATAGGCTTCCCACAATGCTGTTATTGCACTTAGTTTAACCAAGTTAAGCAATCATAGCTTCTGTATGAACCAGTTTCTCATATTCAGTGAAACTATTCTTTATTTGGTAAGTGAAGAAGAACAGTGAATATATAGTCCCGATCACAGTCAAGTGTGGGTAAAGAACATCTTTTTGTATTACGAAATTAACCAGTGATTCGCTTCATTGAGCTCGAAAAGGGCTTTCCATTGTAGGTTATGTTTCATTAAGTCCTCCAAGTTGACTTGAGTGGCTAAGTCAACTTTCAGTAGCGTGACAAGTCAGCAAGTGGTTAGCCTGTTAGTTAGCAGTTAGTTACTAACTTTAAGTGTTAATTAAGCTGTATTAATAAACTATATAAAAGCTGTGTTTCTGAAAATCAAATGGATTAATGAAGTTGGAAAGTTTCCAGATTTTGTATTTGTTCTTTCACTATTTATTGAACTTGGTATGAGAGTCAGTAATTGTTACATACCCATTTTCACTTTATACACAGACGTGCTTGAAGAAGTTTTCTTTCTTAAAATCTATTTTGATATTAAATAGAGAAAAAAACAATTATTGCTCAATTGAGGGAGTTAGAAACCTCCAAAATTCAAATAAAACATTTTATGCAAATAATTATTATATTCCTTGCAATAGAAATCTAGAAAATATATATAAGCTTACAACCATAGTTCCCTACTAAAAAACAAAACACAGTTCACAATTTAAACAAACCAAACTACATGTTCAAACCCAACTAAAAAATCCGAAATAAGTGGCTAATTTATTCAACTTAAATAAATCTCATCTATATTTTAATATAATTTATTTAAATTATTGAGATAAACCCAATCTTAATTAACAAATAAATCCCTAAAAAAACTCCTAAAGTACAATTTAATTAACATTTATCCATTATCAAAATAGATGCGTAACAATCATGGAAATTTTTTCTTCATTTTCCAATTTGCCGAACAGCCTTGAATAGACCAAAAAATTGAAAGGTTATCGTCTCCAACAAGTTCTCGGTTTTTTTTAAGTTGAAGTTGTCTTATAAATTTTTTCAATTATCGTTTTAAGTTTTAACCATACCTTATGAAACGTTCAAAGTATCTTTTCTAGCAAATTATTCTTTTTCTATTATTAAGAAATTTATACATATGATGAGTGTTTTAAAACTTGGCCTGGCCCGGTCGGTTCAATCGGGACTTAGGGCATTCACTAAACTAGGTTACTAATTTCTCTATTCACCAAAAACCCTAGACATTAAGACAATGATCAGCGAACAATTGAAGATCGGAATGTTGGGTTTTTTAAAGAGGAAGGGCCAGTGAGTACAATGGTGGTGACAAAGGTGATTTCTGATGAGTAAATCGATCGAAAATCGAAAAAAAGGACAACGGCAACAGCCTGAATTTGCCGGTGATTGGCGAGGCGAACAAAGGTGGGTTGAGATGGGTTTTGGCCAAGAGGCTAAGAGGAGTATTTTCAGAGTGATGGAGAGGGTTCTCAACGTCGACGATGACGACATTTGGCAGAAATTGAACCAATTTCCACTAGATTTTGGATAGATTTTATGGGAAATGAGCTCAAGGGATGATTGAGATTGCATTTCGTGTGTTGCCACCACCAACCAGTCGACTGCTGATTTGTATTTGGGGTGTGTTTGCTACATTTCAGACATATAGAGACTTAACGTAATTTTTAGGGGTGTATTTGTTGAATTTTAAACTTTTGAACATCCGGTTTGATCGACCCGTCAAACCCATTAGATCGATCCACCCAAGACCCAATAACTTTGTCGGGTTTCACCCCAGGTTAATTATTAAAACATTGCATTTGATGTAAAGGCTCATAGTAAAAATAGTACTTGCAAGAGTAGTTGTTTATAAAACGGTAGAATCAAGGAAGGTTGAATATTCGGTGACAAATTGAGTAAAAAAATGCTCTTCAAGCTTACTAGAATTCATTTAGAATAAATTAGAATTAAATGTAGTGGTCAATTCCCAAATTTGTCTACAAATATAACCTTCCACCTAATTAAACAAATTAGCATTGAATATTCTAACTTCAAGGACGAAAGAAATTTAAATCACTTATACTTTGTTACTTCTCACTGATCTGATGTAACCTGGAAATAGGAAATGAATTTGCAATTAATGATAATTCGATGAAACTGTCCTATTTAAATATTTTTAGTTAATCATGCGTATACGTATTTGAGAAGATAATTAAGCAATTAATTTAATAGTGATCTGCATGTGACAAAACCACATGTGGTCCTAGAATATTGATATTTTAATAGGCTGAACGACTTTCACCTACCCAAAGTTTGGCATAAAGACAGATTGATACCCAAAAGGTTTGAAAATGACAAACAAATATTTTCTGTCATATTCTGTTAGGAATTTATGTCTGCTAAAAGATAATATAGTAATTCAATTCTCATCCCAAGCCCGTTTGCACAGTCCTCTTACATCATCGATCGATTTTTTGATCGAATTTAACATTTTTTTGCGAAGTTCGGTGATAAACAATGGCACTGACCCTTGCTGGCGCGCGTTGGGAATGGAGATTGGTGAGTATTCCAGTCTTTTCAACATTTTTGTCATTTAACAGATGGAAATTCCTAATAGAACATGACGAAAAGTGAGTGTTTGTCATTTCTAAACCTTTTGGGTATCACTTTGTCTTTATAGCAAACTTTAAGTATGTGTAAGTGCGTTCCCTATTTTAATACTTGAAAACGTGAGCCATGCTTGCTTGATAAATGAAGAAAATTCTAAATGATGCAGACCCAGAGGTTGAAGACTGGTAGTTGAAGAGAATGGTGGTTAATTAACTCTAGGTTTTAAAGTGGACAATTACATAAAGGCAGCTGACATCTAACTCATATATACTGAACAATTCACCAAACTCGATCTCATCAAAATGTAATTCTCCAGTGAACTGAAAGAGGTGCAAAGACAAGTGATCGATGAGAGTTAAGGACTGAATAATTAAATGAAGGAATATTTGAGATGCATGAAAGAGGAAGAGGAAATGAGCTTGGGAGGGGAAATAGTGATGGCTGTGGTGGGATTATGGGGAGTATATTTGAGGCCATCCCTGATGAGATATGCTATAGAAATGCTGCAAGTTTTGCGCAATGCCATTATCAGATTTTTCAGAGCCATGCCTTCTTTTTCTTTCTCTATTTATCTTCCTGTAGCTGCTGGATTGTACTAACAACAAGGTATGTTGACTGAATTTCATGAATGATAATAAAAAAATAAGCATTTCATTGTTTTAGAGAAATATTTCTGTTGATTCAATCAATATATTTGTCAGTACTTTTCTTCACAAATTTCCATTTCTTCTTCATTCTATCCTGGTAAAGTATACGAATTTCCATTTCTTCTTCATTCTATCGACATCGAATTGATCATTAGTGGCATAACTGGGCGATATGATTCTAATTAAGCTATAAATTTCAATCTTGTTTATTCTTCGCCAAAGCTTATAAACCAGTTATTATTTTCTGTGTTCATTGATCGATTCTCGAATAATCGATACCAATTATTTAGCTTGTGTCCGTCTTCACATAACAACAAACTACCTCCATTTTTCGTTTTATTTAATGCATTCTTATCCGATTTCTTTCACCAACGTGAATGCCATAGCTCTCTCTAGTTGTATTGTTTGGCTCGGCATCGTTCCTTATCCAAATATTAGCCCCACCCACCCGAATGATTGACTCAAAGTTAATTAGAAAATTCGAATGAGTTCTTGCAAGGTAACTCAGTGAATTCTCAAACAAATAGGTTTATGAAAACTTTTGTATATCATTTTTATACTATGAACTAAAAATGATTTAATTACTTTTAAGTGGTAGAGTAGTTCAATAGAGATTTTTAGGTGTATTATTCAAGAAATACTGAATTCGAGTCTCTCCTCGATTGCTAATAAAGATAACTATTGGAATTCTTATCCGATCAATAGTTTTAGGGTCTCGGAGAATTAATTGAGATAAAGGCACCCCCATCATTTGAAAAAAAAAAAAAAAAACTTTTCAAAAGCATATTTTTGTCTTTTAGTTAACAATCTTTCGACTTAAATACAACTCATGACAAATCAATTAAATTATATTTAAGCATAACAATTAATAAGAAATTGGACAGAACTATTCAACAAGATTAATGATGAAATTGAACCTCAAATTACACATGATACATACTTATGGAATCGTGGGACATTAAGGCACATTTATTATTAGAATGTACACCAAATTAACCATCCGGGTTAAAATACAACTCAACTCCACCGAAAAAATTAAAGTATTACAATTGAAATTAACAAAGGAATAAAGAAATGGTGTTAAATATTATTATTATTGAACATTAAATTTATTATTATTATTATTTTTAAATGCAGCTCTTCTTCATTAGATGGTCATTGGGGTATTGTTCCTGCGCTTGACCAACCTCCGTTCTTCAGACTCAATCTCCATTAAACTGTTGATCACTATATCTGATGCATTCGTCACAACTTCTGACCAGTTCCTATAAACCATTAATTAAGCATAGGTTAAGTAAAACCCTAGTAAATTAATTAGTTTCTGAAATAATAAGCAATTACTATTTAACTTTAGCAGTAAATATTGTGTGAGAAATAATTAACAAACTCTATTAAAAGGAAGAAAATCATACCCTTTCAAGGAATCGAACGTGAGCCCGACGGT